GCTGTTGTTGGTATTTCTGGATGGGTTGCAGCTGGTGGTCGGTTCAAGAGTCCTTTGAAGTGATCCGCCCATTGTTTAATCTGTTTTTCTTCCTCGGTGATTGGGCTCCCTTGTCTGTCTTTTATAGGTTTCGCTTGTGTTGATCTCTTCCCGGATAGAGATTTGGTTATCTGATATAGTGTCCACAGGTCTCTTTTGCCTGCTGCCTTCTCAGCTTCAGTGGCCAGGTTGTCGTAGAATCGTCTTTTGTCCTTCCTAGCACTCTTCTTTACTTCTTTGTCCAGTGCTTTGTAAGTTGAACTCAGCGTCTCCTTCTCCTGTCCGTCCTTGCATTGAATCATTTTCTCTTTCACTATTCTCCCCTCTTCTATCAATTTGCAAGTGTCCGTTGAGAGCCGTTCCTTGTCTTGTCTCTTCTTTCTTCCTAGAACCATTGAACACGTTTCGTTGGAAATCACCTTCAGAGACTTCTAATGTTCTTCCACGCATGATTCTTCAATGATGTGGCGTAATGTTTCCTGCTTTGTTCTGACAGTTGCAGTGAAGGTGTCTTTTGTGGTTGTGTTCTTCAGTAATTGAGTGTTGAACTTGCATTGTGGCCTATCCCCAGCTATCCTCGAGGCTTTTAGTTTCACCTTGAAAGTCCCTTCTACTAGGTAGTGGTCTGAACCCACATCTGCTCCTCTCCTCGACCTTGTGTCCAGTAGGCTACGTCTCCACTTCCTTGAGATTGAAATGAAGTCTATCTGGTTTTTGGTGTTTCCATCTGGTGAAATCCATATCTCCTTGTCTATATTCTTGTCAACCATCCCTACCTCACTTAAATTCTTATGTTCTGACAATCTGACTACCCCCGACATGCTAGTTTGACCCATGTAGTTAACTCAACTCACAGTCATAGCAGGGTATTTTGTAAATTATATTATTTTGTCTCATTGGGTCAACGTACCGGATCCTTCAGCCTGGAGAGCTCGTCCTACCTGAGTGAGTAAGTTTATGGATTTGAATTCCATCGCGAAATTATCGCTTTTTTCAGAATCCTACTTAGGTTCTCAGATGTCCGCTCCCTCCCTAAATGGTACAACTACAGCAAAGGCCTCATATTCTCTTTTAATTATGTTATCATTACCAGTTTTCCTCGTGTATTTTTTATTTTCATTTTACTTTTGACCTTTTTCGATCATCCTAATGAATTTTATAGGATAGTTAGTTATTTAACACCAACGCCTCTTCTTCTACTTGTTTCATTTCATCACTTAGGTGTTGTTTTTGTGCTACTCACTCCTTTTGCTTGCTTTGTTAGACATTTAAGGATGGTCAATATAACTTCGAACTTTGTATACAGAAAAGTTTTCCAATTAATAGTGCTCTCTGAGCTGGTTGGTTTAGTTGCGGAGCTTTCGTCGTCTTTCTGGACGACATCTTCAGTGCAGTATTTAGAATAAAGTGAAATGATTTAAATTTCTTTATGAGTGATATAATTGCGTCTCCCGGTAACCATCTTTAGGTATGCATTGACCGTTTTCTATTGATTTGGATTTTAAACTTTCTGGTCACCTGATTTACAGAAAACGTTTGTCCAGTCTATCTTATTCTACCTTGGTCTTAACCTCTTCACTAATCGTTCCCTGTAAAAAAAATTTTGATTTTTTCTTTTCTTTTTAATTTTTGATTTGACTTTGAGTTTACTTTTGGTTCGATAATTATTTCACTATTATCACTTTCGTATGCTGCACCTGTACATTTCACACCCTTTTTACACTTGTTAATCTGACACTCAAATACCTTTATTCTAACTCAAGAGCAATTTTAACCTCATCAAATTTCTAACTTTGTGCCATTGAGTACCATGTAATTTACAACTTCTATTTTTTTTACTTCTAAAGTCACTTCTGAGTAACTATATCATTTATGTCACCCAATCCCCTATTACTCTCTAATAGACTACTAAACATTTTTGGTAAATATAAATACGACTGTACAACCAACCTCTGAAGATGATTTCATAGGTAAACAACATTGTCTTCGCTGAATCTGTCTTTCATTTTTCTTCAAAAGTCATTTCTACTAACTTTTCATCACTGGAAGTAATTTACTGTATGCACATCTCATCCTATTTACAACAACTGACTCGTCATTTGGATTTACCCTTTCTTTCCCAGTGAATGATGGTGTTCACACTGAGGCTCAAACCCAGCAGTCATCGTTTCAAACGCTGAAGCGTCGTCTTATGCAATAGGTGTCGGTTATTATAATTTTTTATTCCATACTTGATCTTCTCGTTTACCAGTTGGTGACTCAGTTGACCGGCTTCTATTGAGACATATATTGGCTCCTTGTGCGGATGCTTCCACGATGTGCTTCACCTTGTTTTTTTTGATTATCTAAAAGCTATTTACCCAAGTCTCACACTTCCTCACTTTCTTTTCTCGCCCTCTTTTAAGTAATTTTATGTAGTTTTGCAACCAACTGATATTAAATCACGGAAAATACCCATTGAGTTTTAAAGAAAATAAAAGACAGATTCAGCGAAGACAATATTCTTTATCGATGAAATCATCTCCAGAGGCTCTACAGTCGTATTTATACATATAAAAATATACAATGATCTATTATTGAGTAATAGAGGGTCACATAATTGATTTAATTAGTCATAAGTGGCTTTAGAAGTGAAAATTAAAAGTTGTAAATTAAATGGTACTCAACGGAACAAAGATAGAAGTTTGATAAGGTTGAAATTGCTCTCAGTGTCAACTTAACAAGTGTGAAGAGGGTGTGAAAATGTACAGAAGGAGCAGATGAGATTGATAATAGTGAATTAATTATTAAAGCAGAAGCAAACTAAAAGTAAAATTAAGAAACAAAAGAAAATATCAAAATGTTTTTTTACAGGGAACGATTAGTGAAGAGGTTAAGACCAAGGTAGAATAAGAGAGACTGGACAAACTTTTTCCATATACAGACTTCAGGGTTGTATTGATGATTTGCCAGCGCCTCCGCCATACACAACCTAACGCCCTTTGTACCATTTGGCTTCACTTTGTAGATGATCTTGAAAGACGACTCTGGTGGACCTAGGTAGCCTGAGTTCATTAAATGCTCGAGAATTGAGCTAGCAATTGTCTTACATTGTCCCTTTGCCAACCATGCTGGATAATGTTCAGAGATGCGTTTGGAAAGCGTGGACTTTGTGCGGGCGGCCAATATAACTAGCTCCACACGAACAGGTGAATTTATAAACACACGTTGAAGTGGCCCATCCAAGGCGGCAGTTTATCCTTCACACATCCGTTGATCATTTGTCGGCTGTAGAAATTGATAGGTAGCTCAGCCATAAAGAAGGCTTTCCTCAGTGATCTGCATAAGCGATTCTTCAGGATCTCAGGTGCGGTTTCACCCTTAAATTCAACACTCATAAAGAGCAGTTTCTTCGGCACCGTCTGGATTCTTTCAGGCTTTTCCCTTAACTTCATGTTTTTCTCGATAAATCTTGGAGGATATCCATTATCTATGAGAACTTGTCTGAGAGCTCGCTCCAGTTCCCCGTCGATTGTATCACTTGAACATATCCTCCTTATTCTTGAGGATAAGGAATGGATCAGATTTCTCTTTTTTCTGAAAGGGATTCAGGTGATAATAATTAATAAATGACTTTTACTGGTATTATTTCTATTACCTTTCAGAAATATTTAACTGTGTAGCTCTGATGAATAAGAATTTACGAGAAGAATATTCTTTGTGGAAGTACGTCACTTTAATTAACAGTACATAGGCAGGCATTTTTCAGTTGTTCTTTTCTTCAATCTGTTCGTTGTAGCACATCCGTAACAACAAAAGATAACAGACTTCCTAATGGACATTTTTATTAGAGAAAACTCACATTGTAACAACGGAAGACAAGGGGCACGAAACAGATCTTTTTATTACGGAAATCAGCACGTATTTATATATATTTCATGTACATTATTAGAGCTTATTCAAGCAGACAAACACACTCTTCTGATTGGTTGTTTCTGGTTTCTCGGAAGGTTAAGCCATATATTTGCGAATTTTATTTGCCTGCGTTAAGTATGCTGTAATTGGATGTTGAATCAGCCTTGTTCATATTTTCTCACGGCCAATATTAGCGATATAGACATTGACGTAGATTAATGTCGACCAATTGGCTAGCAGCCTGCTCTCACCACAATATCATATTTATGCATTTTTTAACCACATTAAAGGTCGGCTAAGTCACAGGAGACAATAAACTGTGTTCTGAGTGGTTGGCAATTAGCCGAAGGTTAAACAATTAGACTAAAAAACTTTCATCATGAACTGATATCAGTTAGAGCAGCGTTGGAAAACCAGCTTTTGAGTGCTGTCAGAAAACTGTTTCGCTAGGTTAGTTGAGGACTCTTCAGAAGTATGTTTCCACTCTTCATTAGTGCTTTCCTGTGAAAAAAAAGTTTTAATTTTTCTTTTCCTTCTTTACTTTTCAATTTTAATTTTAGTTTGTTATTGCTTTAATAGTTAATTCACTATTATCAGCCTCATATGCTCCTGTTGTACATTTTCACACCCTCTTCACACTTGTTCATACTTGGACAGTCAGCTATCACCTTTCTCCTCACTCCATAGCAATTTTAGGCTTATTAAACGACCAACTTTGTTCCGTTGAGTAGCACGTAACTTACAACTTTCAGTTTGTGCTTCTAAAGTCACTTCCGAGTAAGTATATCAATTATGTCAATCCCTATTACTCAATACCAGACTACTATACAGTCTTGGTAAATATGAATACGACTGTACAGCCATCCTGTGAAGATGATTTCATCGATAAAGAAACTTCTTTCCGCTGAATATCTCTTCATGATCTAGATTTGTGATGAAAATCTGATATCCGGAATGAACTCAAAATTTCCACAAATCATATAATCGGAGCATTCCGATCTCTTTTAATGAATTTTTATATTATTTATACCCTCTTTCTCTTCATGTTTATCCCTCTGTTTTTCTAGGATATTCCAATATCTCTTCCATCATCAGATATTGTCATTGAATCACCTGAAGAACCTTCAGTATCGAATGGAACAGATTTAGAATGTTATCAACAAAACACTGTATTATCCTCCCCTGAACTTGATCAATCTCTATCCTGTTCACTACCAACAGCTTTATACGTTGAAGATTTAGAAAAATACGGCGGCGATGATGTTGGTGATAACAATTTAATCCACGATCCCTCTGTTGAACCTATATCTCCTATTTCACCGAATGATGAACATTTATTACAAGAAATTCCAAGTTCTGTTTCGACTGAAGCAGCTCCACATTCTCCTGAACTTTCATCGGCTGGTGGGTCATTATTATTTGGTCAAGAGGATAATGATAAATTAAAACAAAATATTAGCACAAATATTTAAGCATTGAACATCATCCTCATGAGTATCGTCATCGCCATCGTTTACAGTAACTGTGACCATTATTCATTAGAATAACAATTGTAACCAAAGGAGAGGCAGTAAGAGATAACCAAAAAGGAGAAAAGTTGGTTCGTGCTCCAATACACTGTGATATTATGCACATATATATATATATATATATATATATATATAAATTGAAATAATAGAAAAATAATATATATAAATTATATTTTGTAAACAATCTCGATCGATATAATTTTGAATTCAGTCTCTAGTTAGTTGGTTTTGTCTTTAACAGGGGATATCGTCTCGTTTCTTTGCACATTGTAATGCTTATTCATTTCAGTCAGCTGAGACACACACACACAATGCACACAAGCACAAAAACGCAGTCACACACAAACTCAAATGTGACGTATATATACATTATTCTGTTTCAAAACATTTTCAGATAATTGAAACATCCTGAAAAGTATTTCGAATTTGTATACACTGTGTGTATTAACAAATCCAGTGATGACGTAATTAAAGAATTATGCTGTGATTGAATGAGAAATCAGTCCTGTTCTCCTTTTTCAGTTTTATTTATTTGGGAGGGGAAGGCGCGGATCAGAAATATACCTTATTCAAATTTAAAACAGTTAGTTCCCTTTATGAATTTAGATAAAGCAATAAGAGGGAAGACGTAATTTGCCTGAATCGTGTAATGCTTTATTTGCGCGCACAACCCATTTCGAACAATCTGATCACACACGGACTTGTTATAGGAATATATATGAAATTAATAAAGAGGTAAGAGGTGAGAAAAATAGATTTAGGTCAAGTTGAAAGGACATATTCAAGGTCAAAATAAAAATGAAGACCTCTAAACCAAATAGCAGAGGTAATAGTACATCTGCTATGGTATCAAAACAAAATTTACCAAGGAAGGTTTAATGCGACGACGAATTGTTTTTGAACGCATAAAGGTGGCTTGAACTTTCTAATTGCTAGGGCTTCTACAAACTTTAGGATACGCCCCAAACACGTTTTATAGATAGGTTTAAAAGATCTGTTAACATCAATTCTATGTCCTGTCTCTATAATATGTTTCGCAATAGAAGAGCTAGGTCTCCTGTTCTCACTGTTAATAGGTTCTGAAGATTCCATTTGTTTCTGGAGCCATTTAGGAATACGCTCTGAAGCGCCTACTTGTAGAGATCGATGAGTCCTCCCTATGTATGTGTGTCCACCCGTACATTCAATTTGGTAAATACAGTGGGATGTGACATCATTTTTCGCATGTTCGAAGGGCTTAGATAGATATAATGGCTTTACATTCTCTAGTATTATGATATTAGCTGCAGAAAAAGTTTTTTTAACAGCAGCTCAATACTTCGCTCGAAATCATATGGCAGGCCAGGAAAGATCAAAAACATGCGTGTCTGGTAATGAACGAACCAAACAACTGTGCAACAAATAAGCAAGAAGAAATAGAGATGGATTGGCCATACTCTGAGAAAACATACCATCAATTGACATCACACGCCACACCGTCACTTGAGTGAAATCCGAACGGAAAGTGGCGAGTTAGTCGTTGGTAGGAGGTGATTTGATGAGTAGAAGAGGATAGCACGTAAGCAGACGTAGAGCGATGTGAAAAATATGTCGGAGAACAGGACACAATGGAGACGTGTGCAGCTGAGCGCTTTGTTCCTCTAGGAACTAAAGGAGGCAATAATATTACTACTGCTACTACTACTACTACTAATAATAATAATAAGGGCATCGTGAATTCTGTGTTTGACTCTGAGTTATTAGCCTTGGTATTTCACTTGAACATTTAAACTGAAGACTCATTATATGTCGAATAATAGGGGTATACCTGGAAAGCTAGCGAAATAAGTCGATTACTTCACTACTGTTAGAACTAACGGCTGATATTCAAGCGCTTTACTAGAAAGTAATTCCTTCTGTCATAAATGCTTAGCTAATTTAAAAATGGCTTTTTCATGTGAATGTTATCACGCAGTCGGTGAGACTTGTTACTAATGTCAAACAGTTGACAGGTCTTCTTTGCAGCCTAATCACTCACCTCACTTTTATTTAGTCTCATCAAGGAAGATTTGATGATAAGTGATCAAAGTGTGAAGTAGGTCTGTGCAATATTTAGCTAGGAGTATAGTTTCCTATCTAGCAGTGTAATCCTTCAGATTAGATTTTGTCATGAATTGGTTATAGCTGGATAATCAAGACAGAATTCACCTTTCTTTTTCATCGTAAGTTGAGGGAGTAATCAGCAATACGCACTAAAATGATTTCATTATGGAGCCAACTGAGACCACTCTGACCTCAATTGAATATTGAATCACTTGACCGCAATTCAATATCCACTCCAATTAGAATGATAACATTTCGTAGTAAGCACTTTCACTATGCGGTATAATCGTTGCTTATTTTGTTCTTGCAACAAACGTGGTAATCCATAGGGACCATTGTGTCCTATTAGAAATTCATTCATATACAAGAGGAAGTCCTAAAGAAAAGTGGTGACCGGCTGGGGTTCATAAAGTTTAGTGCAGAGGTGGATACATAGTAACGATACTGGGTGGTGGTGTTGTGTTTTGAAAATTAACACAAATTAGAATTCGTGTGGTAATAAACTCCATCTCTGTGACTGAATGGTCATGACTCCGATTTCCGGTGAACTGTTGGATGGATACCTCTAAAGAGTTGAAAATTAGCATGAAAAGGCCCCCAAGTGCCCACATAACTGTCAAAGGTTTCAATACAGACAATTTGTAAGTAACTTGTTCCTGATGATATATTTTACTTAGGAAAGATGGTGTTGTTCACCAAGTATGTCACCTTGAACACCACAGTAGCTTCCACTTTGATTCAAAAGTCCTGATAAGACACAGAAACGGACTTATAAATGACATATTCATGATAATTAAAAAAAGAAACAATAAAGGAAACACGCGCAACCTAATCAGAAAAACATTTTCGATAAAAAAGAACTTTGCAGAGAAGAAGAATCCGGAAAACACAATTCCGTTTCTGGATGTCTTGGCCGAGCCCGTGAAGACAAGACAATTGGAAATCACAAAAAATACCCATTCATTCATAAGTAAAAACACAGTTTTTTTGTTCAGCGAAGAAATTTCTTTTCAACGGCTTCATTTTCAAGCTGTATAGTCGTATTTATATTACAGTAAAAGGTTATTAAGTGGCACTAAAAATAATGGCTCAGTCAATATACATATATATGTGATAAGAATAACGATAATTAAAATCTTATAAGGGGTAGAGTTGAAGCGGATAAAATAAAAAATTAATAAAGATTGTTTTATAAGTGAATTGATATCAAAAATGTTTTAAAAATGTCATGTGTTTTCTGAAAATTTAAAAAAATTAGCAGTACGATTACGATAAGAATGAAGATGTGAAGTGAAGTGGAATGAATTCAAGTAGTAAAATAAAATAAAAACTAGAAAGAACGTTATTATGAATAAGGTAAAGAAAGGGGTTTGACAAAACGTTTTTGAACACATAATTTAGATTTCTGTTCATGTATAGCCAAAGCTTCGGTTAACTATGCATAAGTGAAGAAAACCGTAAATGTTTGGATCGATTCGGTTTTGTCATGTGGATAACCCTGAAGGATAAATCACGTGAGGCTAAATGACCAGACTTTAACAGATGGTTACAAATAGACGACTTTGCAGTTATACATACGCCTTTCATTAACCAAACTGGATAGTGTTCAGCTACACGCTTCCGGAGATTACGCTTACAACGTCCGATATAATCAGCTCCACAAGAGCAGGTAAATGAGTAAATGCACATAGATGTGGACAAAAGCGGTAATCTATCCTTGACGCATTGTCTAATCATGTCACGGTCTGTAAAAACTAGTTGGAAATCAGCTGCAGGAAAAGTGTGTTTAATACATTTAGATAAACGATTTTTAATCAATTCAGAAATGGTGTCACCTTTGAATGCTAGACTCATAAACAGTTTTTTCTTTGGCACTGTGATTTGTCTAGGGGAGGATTGTTTCTTGATGTCACGTTCAATGAACCTTGTAGGATAACCATTATTAAGGAGATTTGATCGAATGTTATCTAGTTCACTATCGATTGTCTCTGCAGAGCAGATTTTACGAATTCTGGAGCACAAGGAGTGAATAAGATTTCTCTTTCTCCCTAAAGGTACCCAACTGTTGTAGTTAGTATTCTGTCCAGTGAATGTTGGCTTTCGGTAAGTCGACCTTAACAGCTTTTTATTCTCTCTTCTATCTAGCTTAATGTTAATGAAGTGAAACGAGGAACTCGACCCTTCTTTGACCGTGAAAAGCAAAGATGGGTGAGAACCATTAAATATTATAAGAAGATAGGCAGTTGAAGAGTTTTCCTCACATACAATGAAGGTATCATCTATATATCTTTTATACACAAACAAACTATCGATGGTTTCCTTTACTGGGCCATTCTATAAGCTTGTCATGAAGACGTCCGTTAAGAGCGGTCCTAAAGGAGACCCCGAGGCGACTCCATCCCTTTGATTGTAGATTATTTCATTAAATATAAATTCCACATTCAGTGAGCATCTCAACAATAGTTCTTTAAGATATTCAGTTGGTGAGCCAATGTTCATGCTATTTAAATCAATTCACTCGCATAGATAACAGACAATGTCTACTAGTCGCACATTTGTGAACAATAAACAAACATCTAGCGAATTGAATTTTTGAAACTATGGGTACTGGGTTCGAGCCTCAGTGGGAACATCATCACTCACTGAGAAATGCAGGTACATCCAGCTGACGAGTCCCAAATAGGACGAAATGCGCATCCTGGATTCCACTGCTAGCCACCATCCACCAATTGTATACAAACATCTAGCGAAATCATATGCTTACCAGTCACATTAGTTTCGTCAACACAACTGAAAAAGTCAAAAGTGTCGGAAAGACTTTGTTTACATAGATTTAATTTAAATTGTTCCAGAATTCCAGCAAGCCATTTGGCAGTAGAGTGCTACGATGAATTCAGCATATCCAATATACGTCGCAGACGGATATCATCATCAGGCTACGTTCTGTCTCTCTTAGTTCAAACAAGAAATGCATACGTTGAGATACGTTATTCTCAAGTTCAGGAAGACGTGTTTGAATGGCATCGACCAGGTTCAACGTATGACGTTTAAGGGTTGGACCGT